GATTTATTTCCTTACTATCATTCTTTGTCTCATTTGCAAAAAGGGAAGAAATGTGTCTTAGAAATTCCCAATAAATGTCAAAAGTGTGGAGCTGCCTATTTAAATCTCCAGTATGTGTCCACAGATAATTTTATGCATTTATGACTTCAATTTATATTTTCTCTGACATACAGCCAGGTAAAATTAAGGTTTATGAAAAATCCTTCCAGTTTTCTGGAAAAGTCTAGGAGTTTCACAACACAAAGCTCTACAAAAGTTTTTACAAGAATGACCAACCAAAATGAAAATATTTTTAACATTTATATTTAGCACAGGAGCATCTTTTGTGCAGCAAAAGCATTATCTAGGTATTTTTTAAATGTATGCTTTTAAAACTGGGAGAGATCTATCAATGGACAGAAGAGAAAGAAAGACCACATGTTGAGTCCATGCTTGATAGTCTGTACAAGTTATTGTGAAGTACCACTTGTACTAGGACTGCCACAGAGCTGTTGGTTTGAAAGGTTAATGACTGCAGCAATCACAATTTCAATTTACAAGAAATGGGATGACAGGGAGCCAAATACAAATTGGAAATGTCCCACTGTGATGGCAGCTGAGCAACAATTCATCAACAACAGCACAGGAATATTGTAAAGCCAGAGTGCTGGGGACAACCTTTTCAGCCTGAGAAGGGCTTAGGGCTTATATTAAGCTCATTTTTCAGGGGTAGTATAGAAGTTTAAAAATGGCTAAATTACCTAATATAGACATAAGTTCTCCCTTGATAATTTTCCATATAGTAGTTGCTAGGTCATCTGCAGGTGTTTATCCCACCTCCTTACATTTTCTTTTGTGTATATTCCCTTTCATTTTAAATGTTGACTTTTAGTTCCACCAAAACAGCCATTGTCCCAAAGGCATTTCAATCATCTTTGAGCATTCCCTGCAATTATACTCTAGGTCTTGCTTACTCAGAGCATCAGCTCTACTACTATGTGATCTGAGACTTTCTAAAGTTTTCAGGTGTTTACATACACACAAGGATGCTCTGTGAGACCCTGTGCTCCTTCTGCCCGGATTTTGCATGTAATTTGTGTTCAGTGGAAAATCAAATCGAGGATAATAAGTCAAACTTTCATCATCAACACTTACAGAAATGCAGGTGTATTTTACTTCTTTCTTATCTGAAGTCAGCCAGAACTGTTTGTAAGCAATTTGAAGTCAGAAATAACAAATAAATGGAGGTAAGCTGTGGCAAGTTCGGTTCACCCCTATCTCAGAAGAGACCTCCTAAAACTCGACAGGATTCAGGGAAATAAGCAGGCTGCAGTGAGATTCTACAGCCAAAAGCTTTTCAATTAGTACTAATGTGCTGTAGGATGCTGCTAATTTCATCTAACAGGACCACAACATCAGCAGAACTACCATAACTTAAGTTCATGCTTTAATTTATCTTGCTTTATATACTTAAATTATTGAAGAGATAGTAAGACAGCAAATATCAGGTGAAAGGCATAAAGCATAGAGGTAGGATCTGCACAAGATTTTGATGACATCATGTTAAATATGTGTGCCTGTGTCTTTCATTAAATCTTTTCAGTAGTTTCCTTCTCAGAGGAATGATTTACCAGAATATCACAGACTCAGAGAATGGCTGGGGTTGGAAGGGATCTCTGGAGATACCTGGTTGCACATTCCTGCATATGTCCTGAAGAGGATCCCCAGGACCATGTCCAGAGAAGTAACTTTTGGATATCTTCAGGCAGGGAGATGACACAAACCCAGTGGGCAATCTGGGCTATTGGTCAGTGAAAAAGTGTTTCCTGATGTACAGAGGGAACATCCTGTGTTTCCATTTGTGCCTACTGCTCTGGCCCTGGCACTGGGCACTACTGAAAAGAGCCTGGTTCCATCTTTACACCCTCCCTTCAGACATGCCATAATCATGTACAGCTGATTGAAAAGTAAAAGGCAGCTGTAAGCAGCAAATTCTCAAGCACGTTCCTGTAAGCAGCAGAGTTCTCAGACTTGTTTTTTTAATAACAAGTAAATACCTTGTCCTTGGATAGTATGGGAAAGCAAAGTGACAAACCTGAAGGCCTTGAGAACCGTTCATAACAGGATGAGAAAAACAAGTCTTGGTCTCAATAACAAACCACAGGTATTGAAAACAAAAGGAGGGGTTGCTGTGTAATCTGTAGCCAATGATGAGCTCGGGTTTTGCAATATGTATGAACTTAATTAACACGGTTATAAAATGTGCATGTTGGATCAATAAATTGGAGTTCGATGCTGATCAAAGGATGGGTTGTCTCCCTTCGCTTCTACACTCTTCTCCAGACTGACCAGTCTCAGCTCTCCCAGCCTGTCCCCAGTGAAGTGCTCCAGTCCCTTAGACATGTCTGTGACCCTTTGCTGGACTCTCCCCAGTATGTCCATACTTTTGTTTCACTGGAGAGCCCAGAGCAGGCCACAGCACTTCAGATGTGGCCTCACCAGTGCTAGAGGTGCCTTACCTAAAGCAGAACTGCCTTTTCTGCATACACAGACACATTTGCTGGCTCATGCCCAACAAAGCAAAGCCAGTGTCCAGCTGGGTGGCACCCAGGAGAAGTTGGTACACGAAGCAGATGTGTGAAGCACATAGGCTCATGTGTGCTTGGAAATACTGGCAGGACAGCACGAAGCTGGATGACAATGCCAGCAGGCAGGTGGCCTGCAGGTGGCAGGCAGCAGAGGAGGATGGAGCACTGTCAGGGGGACTCAGTCCCAGCACAGACCATGGGAGACATTGCAATGCCATTGTGGATCAGTACCCACCAAAGCCACTCAAGATACGTTCAATGAAAGGTAGAAATGTGGCAGGAAAGGTGAACTAATCAGCACAGACAAGATGCTCATAGAGCTGAGGTAGACTAGTTCTACCAGTTCTCTGAAGTGATTAGAGAACTGTGATCTAGCACCATAAATTGTAGTAGAAAGTTTTAATATGAGAAACAAAACAAACTCCAACTCAACAAAAAGCTTGAAATCATCCATTCCTGAAATATAATGCTTGGGCTAAAGAATACTGCTTTAAACTGATTTATCTTTATGACAGTCACTAGCCTTGGGCATGATTTACAGCATTTTAGATCATAATTGAAAATTTTGCAATGATTTTATACACAAAACCACTGAAGTTTGTGTCCATTAACTCTATCATCTAGTCAAAGATATGTTATATGTGAATGTTGTGAATTATCATGTCCTGATAAGGAAATGAAACATGGATAAAAATGTATTACCATGTCTTACCATCAACATTCCTTTGATGTAAGTAGAACTTACATCCTGGAACAGAAAAGCACATGAAGAGCTGGAATTCCTCTTTTCAGAAAATGCTTAAATAAGGTATCAATTAAAATATTTCCTTATAACATATTCTTGTTTCCATACTTCATTTTATGAAAAGAAATATCAAGGTTCTTAGTTTCTGAAACTCTAAAAATAATCATTCTTGAGAAACAGACAGAAGGCTTATTTCATCCACTATACTTTGTACCTTTTTGCCTTAGATAATTAGGGACATTAGATCATGATTTGCAATGCCTGGAGAATATTGTCATTAGCAGGGGAATGTTCTCTGGAACCCTGAGGAAATGAAAAGCTTTTAAGAGCAATCACTGTTAATCACTAACATGCCAACATTATATACTTTCTGGAACTGAGAATGATACAGACAGGACACATTAAGTGACTCTGTCTTGCTTGCATGGCAAGCTTTTGATAAAAATATGTGTTTAAAACATCCCTTTGCATGTCTTGCTTTCTTTACAGAATGCAGGAAAGTTAAGAACTGCAAGATTTACACTTGTACAAGCTATTGAAGATATCCTCTCTGATTCCATAATGGACCTTCATTGTGTTTTTATTATCTCATCTGAGTAGTAAATGCCATGGACAAGAGATCGGCCCTTTTCACCCAAGAAGGATAAAAGAAAAGCTAAACTACAAGGAGATAAATGCAATTAAATTAATCTTTAGCTTCAGCTTAGCAGGAGACATAGCATCTGCGCAGCTGCAATACTTACAGCTGAAATTATAGATTAACATTAAACATTGATGATTAAAAATTTACTGTTATTATTTTTTAATATAATATTTCTTTAATATTTTCTATCCAATGTTAATTGCATCCAACATCCCACATATTTTCTAATGAGATAAAGGATAGTAAAATAAATAGAGAAAAAGTATATTTTTAAGAAAATAGAGTTCAGTACTACTTACTAACATCTTTTGAGTTTTAATTCCTTGCTGTACTAACCACGCATGCCTCACAAGTCAAAGCCAAGCCCAGCACTACAGGGCATCTGTACACACTGGAAAATGAGTCAGACTACACCCATAGACTGGGGTCCTCAGTTGGGATCCCTGCCAAATAAAACATTGGACCTGCCACAACATCACACATTTTCAGAAAAAAAATCACTTAGATCCTAGTAAAGGAATCTAAGAAGTTTACAGATTTGTAGAACTACTGAGAACTGATGAAGTTATCTACAGCTGTTCACCAAATAAAAAAGTCATCTAGTGCAGTTGAAATCAATTACTTCTTGTGACAGCTCCTGTGATACAAAAATCAAAATCTTTCTTCTTACTAACCAAATTTTTCAGGACTCTTCCATTTTTGCACCCTTAGACAAACAACCTCAATACAACTTTCAATTTGTCTTTGAACAAAGTCCTACTATATAAGTTATACTTGTTCTATTAAGAATAAGTAACTAATTTCTCCTACTAAGTTATAATTATTCTCCCCTTGATGCTTTCAATTTTATCTGCATCTTTTGTTCATTAAATAGTTTGATGACTTTAGACCAATTGTTTCAGAGTGATGGTTTCCTCATCTGATCAGATATCCGGTATTTAGCTACTGAATCTCATGAGCTGCACTGCTAGTCACTCTTACACAGCTGAGGCTGTAGTGGCACATCCCACAAACAGATTGCAAATTCAAAAAAGGAAGTGCTTACATTCTTGAAACCTCTATATAAGATCTGAAGTTCCTTCTTTGTGAATTTACTCTGTGCTTCCAGCAGTTCAAGAGCTTCAGGTCTATGTCGTACTGTGGCCATTTCCATTTCATCTTCTACAGTGTCTGCAAGAGACAAGAGACAGAGAAGGAGAGCTCAACAGGAAATACGGGAAGTGAAAATGCTTAACCCTTTCAAAAAGACAGAAAAGAAAAAAGGAAAGAGGGAAAGGAGAGGAA